GAAAAAACATCTACGTTACAAAATACAAACGCGAAATTAACGACACTACTCCGATTACAACTGACCGCGAAAAAACATTTATTCCCACCCGTACAACCACCTATTACAAAAGTTTCATCTCCATTACCAACAACCCTACATCCACATACTAAACAACACTTTACACGTAAGAAAAAAACAAATCAACGACGAAAATACATTTATTCCCCGTTGATACAACCACCGATTTCAAAATACGAATAAACGTTACTCCCATACCACCTTTCACTCGCAACTAACCAACCAGTTACTAATTTAAAACAAACTCACCGCGAAAAAACTATTCCCACCCGTACCACTTGCCAACGAAATTATCGCGAAAACCGACTCGTACCGCCTTTACCCGTATCGACCAACGTCGCAAATTCACCCGTCTGCCGCTCGCGTCGCTCTCGCTCCCAGCGCCGCAAACTCCCTTCCCGCTCAGTCGTCGTCGTCCCACGCTCCGACAATGGCCGACCTCCGTTGGTACGTCCTCTCTCGCGTCTCTCGCCTTTCCGCAAAAACCACCTTCTCTCTGTCGCAGGATCGCCAAGTCCGCGCGTCGCCCGACCCTGCCAACGCCCGCGTCTCTCCACGAAGCCACCGACCAACATCCCTTGAAACCCGTCGCCGTCCTGGTAAACTTGCAAACGCCTCTCTTCCACGCGCCCTCTACCCGTCTCTCTCTCTTTCCAGTTGATCGACGGTCGCAGCGCCACCGCCTCCACGGATACCTTCGCCGCCGGTCGTGCTTCCTTCGACGGTTCCGATCCCCTCTCGCAGTTCGCCGAGCAACGCTCGGATCCCTCGTCCGCAGCGGCCACCGACCAGGTTCGTACCTCTCGCGCCCACGCCTCGTCTCAGCCTCTCGAACCGCAGCGGGATCGCTCTTGCCGCGCCAACCTACGCCGACTCCCGTCCGACGGCCCGACGTCCACCGACGCCGCCGAGGAATCCCTCGAACCGTGGTTGGCCAGGCGCGCCGCGATACTCGACGGGTACACCGCGTCGGAAAAGTTGTCCATGGTTGCCGGTTTCTTGCCAGGCGACGAGAAAGGTACGTCTCTCTCTCTCTCTCTCTCTCCCCCTCTCTCTCTCCCTCCCGACTCTAACGCGTCGCTGCCCCGCAGTTGTCGTCAAGGTTCGACCGACCGGCGGAGTCGTCGACAAGGTAAGAACCAGACTGCAACGGTTGGACGACTTCGAGGAGGGATCGGTCGGGCAAACGTCGGACCTCTCCCAGCAACGATACGCCGCCAGAGTCGACCGATTGAACGATCAACTCGTCCAAGCCTGGCACTCCGACCAGAGAGTCAAAGCGCTGAAAATTGCCATTCAGGTTTTCTCGTCCCTTCTCCCTCCGCCTCGTCGTCGATCGACCTAACCCCGTCTGTCTCCTTTCAGTGCGCCAAACTGCTGGCGGATACGTCCGTCGTCGCTTTCTATCCCGGCAAGTTCGTTCTCGTCACCGATATTTTGGACGTTTTTGGAAGATTGGTTTACGACAGGCTCAAGGTCAAAGCTGAATGCTCCTGCAAGTTGGTACAGCCCCGCCTTTCTCGACCCTTTGCGGTCCTGCGTCCGGTCCGACTCGAGAACCGCTTTCCAAGTCTACATTTCCGTAAAGCGATTCTCCCTCGCCAACGACGGCGCGCGACGAACGACGATTCGCGGAACGTCGCTGAAAGCGACGCCCGTTCCGGTTCCGTCGAAAGACGAGGTGCGAGGGCCGCGACTTCCGACCGATCGTGTCGCACCTCCGCAGTTTCTCTCGTTGTTCTTTTTTACGTTACGTATTTCTTTCGCTCGCTCGCTCGCTCGCGAAACGACGACCAAGACGAATTTGCACGCTCGAAAGACAGCAGCCGCCGCCGCCGAGTCTCCGCGCGATATCTTTTCGTCTTCCTCGCGAGTGCGTTGGCAAGGTCGCGAATCTTCTCCGAGGTAAACGCTACCGAGAGACCCGCCAAGGACCGCGAACGGTTGAGAACGAGAGAGAGACTCCCCGACGTTCACGTTTCCCCGTCTTCCCAAGACCAGGGAGCAAAGTGCCCGCCGCCGGTCTGCCCGACGACTTCACGCCCGACATGGTGCCGGAAAGTGCCAAGGAAACTTGCAGAAATTGGTTCTACAAGATAGCGTCCGTGAGGGAATTGGTCCCGCGTCTCTACGTCGAAATGGCGATAATCGAGTCTTACGGCTTTCTAACGACCAGGTAACCGCGTCCGCGTCGTCTTTCCACGCCACCTCGCGTTCTGTTCGCCCGCCGTTCTTCCTTTCAGCGAGTTCAACGCGGCTTTGCTGCGAATTACGCGAATGATCAGAGGTATCGGAGATCCTCTCGTTGCCGTCTACGCCAGATGTTACTTGTGCCGAGTGGGACTCGCCTTGAACGAGACGTCCGACTTCGAATTCGTCAGGGAGAACTTTTACGACTTTCTCTTCACCTACCAGCAGCTGTTCGGCCCCTTCGTCGCCGATCGACTGATCGAGCAAAACGTCGCCGTCTCTTCCTACTTGAACCTTTACTCGCCGGCTTTGGACTGGATCTTGCGAGTCTTGGTAGCCACGACTCGCGAGAACCTTTTGGAGGAGGTGCTCTTTCGCTGCGAGGATCGAACCAACGGGTACGTCGTTGCGCCCTCTCTCCTTCTCCCGGACGTTCTCTCCCTTCTTTTTCCAGCTCGTTGCTGTTGAACGGTATCTTGACGGCGTTCAAACCCTCGTACGTCGCGCGGCGTGCCATGGACTTTGCAAACTTGATAAACGCGATACGAGACGATGGTAATTCCACGACGTCGCGGCGAGCGAGTTCTCCGATCTCTAAATCCCGCGTGTTCTTCTTTCTCCCCGCCCTCAGGTTTTCCACGGTATCTGTTGTACCGAAATCTCGGCGAGAGTCTAGTGTCGCAGCCACCGCCGAAGCAAGATTGTCGATCGATTCTGGACGCCGTGTGGACCTACCTCGCCGAGTTGACGAATCCTGCCAACTTTATGCATTGCGCCGAGATTTGGGTTCAATTCACCGCCGTTCACTTTTCCGTGAGTCGACGAGAGAATCGCGAGCGACCGAACGGACACGTTCGTACCTTTTCGACGAAATTACCCTCTCTCTCTCTCTCTC